ATTCACTTTCCATACAGCAGTTCACATACACTTTGTCTCATGACATTGACCACAATTTACCACAATGCAACAGCTCCCTTCCCACTTCTTCCCGATAATCATGTACAAGTTTTTATGTGGACATACAGCTTCATTTCTTGTGAAGTAGATTTTTCAGATTAGCCAGTCTGTTTAACCATTTGAAGAGTTGCTGGAATGTTTTAAAGTTTCACTTTAAGTTCCTTCTGGCAATGTGTGAGGGTTACTGCCTTATAGCTTTGTGCCGATGTCAGATTCTTTTCATTGGCTAGTTTCTTTACGTGGAGTTATGAGGTCCTTGAGTTGTACAAACTTAAACGCTTGACTGTTAACCATAAAGATTGGAGGTATAAATTCACTTAGAAGTGCCTTGGAAGAAATGCCTGGCAGTCTTCTGAAAAGTCTCAGCCTTGGAAACGCTCGGAGCAGCGATGCTCTGTGCACATGGTGCTGCCGTGAGTCCGAATCAACTTTGTGGCAAAGTTTTTTTTTTTTTTTTTTTGGCGGGGGGGCGGAGGTTGAAAGGCATGAAGCTTTTACATTGAGTTTTGATCTGTGACGTAAATTACCTCCCAGAAAGGTGGTACTGATTCCTGAAGTGGCCAGCATCTTCTTATTTGCTGCTTCCAGGCTTCTCTGTCTGAGAAGTTATGTCCAGGCTTTTGAAATTGTGTGTAGGGCTCTGATCTGGAGCCTGCTGTTTGCTTTGTTCTCAGGGCCCTTTCCTCTGGGATTCTGGAAGCATTGTGGTGTAGGGGAGGTGATGGATGAAGGCTCCACGTCCCCTTCCAGGGCTGGGCGGTGGATTTGGGTAGCTTTTAAGGCTTTGGGCTACTGCTCAGGACTTTGTGTGGTTTTTGTTAGGAGGCCACGTAGGCCAGAGGCTGGGTGGCTCTTGGAGCTGAGGGTCGGGATGACTTGTTTCTTGCAGGTGTCCTGCCTGCATACCCTGGGCTACCCTCCAGCCCAGGGGCAGGGTCTGCATGTGACCAGCATCTCCTGGAACACCACTGGCTCTGTGGTGGCCTGTGCCTATGGCCGGTAAGTGGCAGCAGGGTTGGGAGTAGGGCAGTGGGAAGCCCTGAGACCAAGCACCCTTGTCTGGGTCTCTGTCTCCCCACTTGCACAGGGAAGGGCTATTTCAGAGAGCTTGGCCATGCTGAGATAGTCTTCTCAAGGCTGCCTGGGCAGGCTCGGTGGTGGATGGGAGGGGCTGGGAGCCCAGGATGTCAGTGCCCATCTGCCAGCCCTGGGCATGTGCCTGGGCCCTGCCTTACCTTCTCTGTGAGCATCTCTTGTCTACTTCTTGATACACTGGGGCTCCCTCACCCCACTCACTGCCATGGAGGTAGGCAGACCTATCCTTGGTTCCTGGGGACCCTTTTCTAGAGAAAGCCATGTCCTTTGGGTACCACTTTGATACCCAGAGTACTGGATCTGCGTGTGATGAGGACACAGAGGTTAACTCTTGTTTAGGGTCAGTGGGTGGAGAGGGGGTAGATGCTAGAAGTGGCGTGGGGATGGGAGTTGGGATGAAGTACAGGCCGAAGGGCAGAGCCAGCTGAGGCATGTCCCTGTGCAGACTGGACGATGGGGACTGGAGCACGTTGAAGTCCTTTGTGTGTGCCTGGAACCTGGACCGACGAGGCCTGAACCCCCAGCAGCCCTCAGTGGTGGTAGAGGTGCCCAGTGCCGTCATGTGTCTGGCTTTCCACCCCTCACACCCGGCCCTCATTGCAGGTGAGCTGCCCCAGGTCTCTGGGCTGCCCCCTGACCACCATGGGGGCAGGTCTCCTGGGAGGCAGAGGTGAAGCAGGCTGTCCCTGAGCTGACTCGTTCAGTCTGGCAGCCCAGGTGAAGGCACTGTGGTGGGCATGTGCTGGTCTAGGCTTGGGGAGCTCGAAGGAAGAGGAGGCAGAGTCCTCAGCTGAGTCTTAAAGGAGGTGTGGATGACAGCCCATGTCAAGGGGCCTGGCAGGGGAGCAGGCTGGGTTGGAACAAGAGGCAGGAGGAAGCCATGGCCCTTGGGAGCTGTGGGTGGTGTGGTACGAGCTCATGTACATTGGGGAAGAGGCAGGGGTGCTGGAGGTGTTGGTGCTGTACAGTGCAAGGGGGTGGCCTGGCAGCAGGATGGAGAGTTACTAGGCCGTGGGAAAGGGGCATTGATTGGGCTTGAGGCCTGGGGACCAGGACTTTTCCTCCTTGGGAACACCTTTTGGAGAATTGGCTTCAGGTCTTGCCTCAGAGGGTAGGAGGAGGGGCAGGTGTTTGGCCAGGAAGCCCAGTTCTTGGTGTGGGAGTCTCCTGGGCCTGCCTACTTGGTGTCCACAGGTGGGCTGTATAGTGGCGAGGTGCTGGTGTGGGATGTGAGCCGCCCTGAGGACTCACTGCTCTGGCGAACGGGCCTGACAGATGATACGCACACGGACCCCGTGTACCAGGTTGGAGCGACGGGCCTGTGGGGTGGGTGGTATCATCCCATTCTCTCTGAGCTGCCCTTGCTGTTGTGGACCACCCTTGAGGCAGAGCAGGGGGGAAGGTACCTATGTGGCATACTTGGCCACTCTCCTAGGAAGGTCACTAGGGAGGTGGCAGCTAGACATTCTGGCATTCTTTTTTTTTCTTCAATACCATTTTTTTTTTTTTTTCTTTATTGTGATTTGGGTGAAAATTTACAGAGCAAATTCACTTTCCATACAGCAGTTCATATACACTTTGTCTCCTTACATTGACCACAATTTACCACAATGCAACAGCTCCCCTCCCACTTCCTCCCGATTGTTACCTCTTCCCTGTGTCCACCCTTCATGCACTCCTGCCCCCTAAGCTGTCTCCCGGTGCATAAGAAGCTCTTCTTTCTCCCATGATTGTTCTCTCCAAGGAGTATATCTACCTCAGGTAAATGTTCGACTCATACGCCTGTCTTTTGTTTGGCTGGAAGTAACCAGGCTCTGTCGGAACTGCAAACCTGGTCCCCCTCCCTTTTTTATTTCTCCGAATGATTTTGAGTTTTGTTCCACATTGTTCTCCCTCTCTACCAAGGATCTCCTACATAGATCCCCTTCCAAGTGGATGACAGTGGTAGCCGGGCACCATCTAGTTCTTCTGGTCTCATAGTCGTATAGGCTGCAGATTGGATGGTGTACCAGTCGCTAGGACTAATTGTTTCCATGAATTTTGGTTTTCTTCATTCTTCTTTGCTCTGTATGAGGAGAGACCCATTGTTGAATCTAGATGGCAACTTGCTAGCTTTCAAGATCCCAGTCGCTACTCGCCAAAGTAGGAGGTGGAACAGTGTTTTGTATAGTATGTTCTGCCAGTTGTAGCTCTGGCATTCTTAAAGCCTCTGTGGCTTGAGTCATCACCGCTGCCCACCCCACATGGTGGCTGGAGCCACTCTCATGGCCCTGTGGCTGTTCCCAACACCTACATAGCAGTTGTAGGGAGTAGCTTCCTGTTGTCCTGGCTTTTGGCTAGCACTGGGATTCAGGACTAGGGGAGGGACATTAAACCCCATGTCAGCCCCTTGGAGAGTAAGGCTGGCTCCCCAGAAGAGGAGAGGGCAGGGCCAGGCCTGGGATACACATAAGGCAGGCATCTGGTCTTGTTGGGAAATGTGGGGCAGGCAAGGGCCAGGCATCCTTTCTTTCTGGATCTTACTCTGTCTCCCTGTTGTCCCAGGTGGTTTGGCTGCCTGTGCCTCGACACAGCCACCGCTTCCGGCTGCTGAGTGTGGCCACTGACGGGAAGGTGCTGCTCTGGCAGGGGGCCGGCGCAGGTGTGCTGCAGCTCACTGAGGGTTTTGCGCTGGTTGTGCAGCAGCTCCCACGGAACACCAAGCTGAAGAAGGTATGTGGGGGCCAAGGTTGCTGCTGCCCATGGAACAGACAGCTGCTGGGCCTGTGGGACCTTGGGCTCCTGAGAGCCTGGAGCCAGAAAGGCAAGGACATTGGCCTTGTGTTCAAAAAGGCTGGCTGTGCCCCAGCTGTGACCTCGGGGCTCCAGCCTAGCCCTCCTGCACACTGGCATTGGGGGACATGATGATTGTGATACCCTGGCTCTGACCCTGCTGCTGCCATTTCTCCACAGCCTACCCGGGGTGAGACCGAGGTGGGTATCACGGCTGTGGCTTTCTCCAGCTTTGATCCCAGCCTTTTTGTTCTGGGCACTGAAGGCGGCTTCCCACTCAAGTGTTCCCTGGCAGCAGAGGAGGCAGCCCTTACACGGACGTCCACCTCTGTGCCCCTGCGGGCACCAGCACAGTTTACCTTCTTTCCCCACGGTGGTCCCATCTACTCTGTGAGCTGCTCCCCTTTCCACAGGTAAGGATGTCCTAGGCCTGGGGGTCTTTTTCCCCTATCAGCCAAAGGGCCCAAACGCTGACCTCTCATCTACCAGGATCTGTTGCTCTCTTAAGTTGCCGAGACCCCTTTACCTTCCCATTGAGCACCAGTATCCAGGTTTGGTGGTGGCCTGTAGGAACGTGCCTCTACTGAGATGGGGGACGACATAGCCCAGCAGCCCCACTGGATGCTGATTCCCTTGCTCTGTCCTGTATCTCGTCCAGGAACCTCTTCTTGAGCGCAGGTACCGATGGCCACGTCCACCTGTACTCCGTGCTGCAGGCCCAGCCCCTGACTTCACTGCAGCTGTCTCACAAGTACTTATTTGCTGTCCGCTGGTCCCCAGTGCGCCCCTTGGTCTTTGCGGCTGCTTCTGGGGAAGGTACGAAACGGGACACCAGGTCTGGACCCGTTTAAGTAGAATTCTGGGTTGGAGAGAAGCTTCATGTGGGGCTAGGATGCCATCCCTCCACAAACCTAACTGTAAAAAAAAACATGGTTACCTTCAGGGTATTAGCTTTATCTTTAACTGTGGACTCTGAATTTTCTTTACTAAGTATGCATGTAAGCTGTTTTAAGAGGCTGCTGCTCTGGGCCTCTTAGCCCACAATTCTCTCTCCTTGAAGGTGATGTACAGTTGTTTGATCTCCAGAAAAGCTCCCAGAAACCCACGGTTTCTATCAAGCAAACCCAGGATGAAAGCCCTGTCTACTGTCTGGAATTTAACAGCCAACAGACTCAGCTTTTGGCTGCTGGGGATGCTAAGGGAATGGTGAAGATCTGGCAGCTGAGCTCGGAGTTCACAGAACAGGGACCCCGAGAAACAGAGGACTTGGACCAGCTGGTAATGGAGGTGGCCACCTGAAATGCCCCTGGCTCCCTTTAGCTGTCCTCAGGGAGGATGTCAAAGGGAAGAGCTGGGCCGTGCCCCCAAATTCAGAGGCAAGTGATGTGAAGCTCTATCTGTGTTGAGTTGAATGAAGAAACAGAAAAGTTTTTAGGGGCAGAGTCAAGTCATTTATTTGTCGTTTACATGAAAACAGAAAACATGGGGTGGGAGGGAGAACAAGGAGGGAGCTAGCTACCCAGCTGCTTAGAGTTTTCTGAAGCCGGAATGAGGGCAGCTGGTTTCAAGGTATAAATCTGGGTCCCCACAGTAATAGGGCAATTGTGATTGACCAGAAGCGTTTTATTGAAGCACCATTTACTAAGTCTTACCCCAAGCTAAGCAGGTTTAAGGTTACATTAGAAAGTAACACTGTCTGGAATATTTTTTTCTTAATAGCACAGAACTGAACTGACATGCAGCAAGGCGACGACAAGCAGCGTAGAGCCAGGCTAAGAGCTGAGGATCAATTCACGAAGAGCGAGCGGGTGAACTCGATGTAGTCAAAGGCTGTGGGGAGCTCACGGCCTTTGCCATCCACATAGGGCTTCATGTGGGAGACACAGTAGTCTGCTTGTTCCCTAGTCAGGTTCTGAAAGGAAATATGGTCCCTGTCAGCCCAGCCACCCATGCACCAAGGCAGGGATGGGAGAGCTTTACTTCCAGTTTTAGGGAAGGTCCTAGGGTTGCACACATGGTCTGTTTGACTGCTAACCTAGAGGATGGTGGGCAAGCCCACCCAGAGTACTGCAGGAGGACTGGTCTGGTGATCTGCTTTACCATTATCCCCAAGAAAACCCTACACGATTGAGATCTGAGGCTCCCCACAAAGTCTTGTTACCATCAAGTCAGATCTGACTGATAGAACTTCTCCACAGGATTTTCAAAGCTGTGAACTTTCAAGAGCAGACTGCCAGGTCTGTCTTCTGAAGCACTTCTGGATGGGCTGGACAGCCAACCTTCCAGCTAGCAGTTGAGTGCTTAGCCGTTCATACCACCCAGGGACACCTGAGACAACCCTAGGGAGCAGTTCTGTTAGGTAATACATAGAGTGGTCACAAGTTGGAATTCACTAGATGACAGCAAACAATGAATTTCAGGAAGATCTCTGTTAGGGAAGAACCATGTGCTTAGTATTTGTAGCCCAATTGGGGTGTAAAGCATCTTCTAGCAGTTAAGGGATTGGCATTTTGGCCAAGTACTGAGTTTAATTTGTTAACGGGGGACACAACTCTCCTGAGGGTAGTTTGGGATGGATGGAGTCAGTGATGTGTTTTATGCAACCAGGACAGGCTTAAAACAGGATCATTATTCTAAACTAGTACTGATTCATAGGCAACCATTGGCTTTAGTTTTCAAAAGGAAACCTCCCAACAGGAAAGGGAAGGTCTTGGAAAATCCCTTAACTCTAAACTACTGGTCCCAGAGCTCACATACCTGGTATAACTCCTCCTTGGTCACGTACGGCTTTCCCTCTGAGCTGAGGGCACGGAAGGCGCTCTCGATTTCCTCACTGGACTTGACGTTCTCAGTTTCACGGCTGATCATGAAAGCCATGTATTCTTGCAGGGAGACATGGCCATCCCTGGGAAAGGGACAAACGAGTGAGCAGGTAGGACCGAGTAAAGCCAAGGGCAGGAATGCTTCTGACACCTTCCCAGAAGCTTACCTGTTTGGATCCACTGTGTCTAGGATTGCCTCAAACTCAGGGTCAGGTTCCCCTTCTTCCACCATGGGCAGGTCATAGCCCAAGGAGCGCAGGCAGGATTTGAACTCCTGGTGGTTCAGCCTGCCAGACTTGTCCTTGTCAAAGTGTCTGCAGCACAAAGCCGAAGGCTGCTCAGCACACAGGCCTGCTGCCAAGCCCACGCCCAGAGAGGACCCAGGGGATACTCACTTAAACATCATGCTGAACTCTTTGAGGGCCTCCTCGGTCACACCTGTTGTGTTCCTAGAAGGAAGAACAGAATTAGGACCTGGCTCCCTGCACAGCAGTGACATATTCATTCCTAATGTCAGCACCTAAGGAGCTCTGGTGGTGTAGTAAATAACGCATTTGGCTGTTAACCAGAAGGTTGGTGGTTCAAACCCACCACCTGGTCTATAGGAGGAAGATGAGGCAATCTATTTCCGTAAAGATTTACAGTCTTGGGGTTTGCTATGAGTTGGAACTGACTTGATGGTAGTGGGTTTCGTTTTTGGAGTAGCTTCGGGGATGAGCTGGGGCAGATGCCTGAGACGTCTATTCCCACAGCCCTTGGACCCTCAGCACTTGCCCAGCTACCTGGCCTGGATCTGCTGCTCCAGGTTATGCTGCATGCGCATGCCAAGCTGGTCCAGCTGGTCCCACTGCTGGGCCAGACCCACAGTGCTGTGCTCCGTGTACTTGTTGTCCAGTATAAGTGCTTCCTCCATGGCAGCTCCCAGGTCCTCAATCTTCTTGAGTTGACTCCTCATGGCTCGAATTTCCTGGTGTTTGCGCTGCAGGGGGAGAGAAGAGCTGTGTGAGATAGGCCTGGAGACCGAGGCGAGAGCCCCTAAGTGCCTGCTCCACTTCCTCATCACTCACCGTCCTCACACCCTGCCTGCGACCTCCAAGGCCAGACATGTGGCTTCTGACTCAATTGGGAGAAGTGGGTGGGGGGGAGGGAAAGCACCCCAGAACAGCCTCCACAGGAGGACTTTCCGTATGAGAGTCACAAACCTGGAGGGAGGCAACTTACACAGAGGACAGAAGGAGCCTCTTCCTTTATAAGTAAGGCTCCAGGGAGCACTGGGGAAAGACACAGCTTTCTTAAAATGATGGGTCCCAAGCTACTGTAAGCCAAGGAAAAAGGCAAAACCAACCAGCCCATCTTATTTCTCCATAAACCAAGGGACAGGCAGGCCTGCTTGGGGGAGTGAGAGATAGGCTAGGGAGGTGGATGAAGGGTCTTGCTGGGCCACAAGCCCAAGGGGCACTCACTTTGGTAGCTTCAAGCTGGGATTCGAGGGTCCCTGACTCTTCCACCATGCAGGACCTAAACACAGAAGCACAGTGAGAACACGGCTTGATCACACAGATTGAGAATTCAAATAACTGCCTCTCAGCTAACACAATGGCGGGCAGTCTCCCATCCTTTGTATTAAGGAACATCAACTCTGTGTACTACTGGCTATCCTTCCCAACTGGGCCTGTGAGCCAAGAAGAGTAGGGAACAATTTCCCCATTTTGGAGACAGGAAGCTGCTGTATGATATGGTGAGCCAGGGCTGTCTCCTACCCAGCCTGTTCCCCACTTCCAGCAAGACCCTTTCTCATGTGGCTCTTTAGGCCCAGCCAGGGTATGCCATGATGCCTGACCCAAGCCAAGCCAGGCCCTGAAAGGGTGACTCAGGAATCGATTTTTAGTTTTCCCATGGGAACAGAGAGCTGCAGGCCCAACTGACGAGTACACCCGCTTTGCAGCCATGGAGGAGGCAAAGCTGACAACCTGACAGCCACCCCCAAATCCTTGAAGTCTCCTTGCAGGTCCCTGAGGAGAGGAGCCACATTCTAGGGTGAATGACAGTGATGGGGGAAGGGGGCCACAATGTAGTCAGATGACCCTGGAGTGCTGAGAATAAATGACCAGATTTGGGTTGTGCAAGTGCCACTATCAGTTCTGCCCAAAGAGGGGACGGCTTTGGCTAAGCCCTGGGGTTCATGTTCCATAATCTAGAGACACAACCAGGGCCAGAGACGCCTGCCCAGTGCCAGGTCTGGAGAGCAGGTGGACTCTGGGGAGCTGCCACCTTCCTAGCATCACAGTGCAGTGCCACAGGGGACCAGTGAATGATGACAGACAAACGGGGATTACCGTGCAGGGACAAGTTCACATTGTGCTTGTGTCCTTGGTGGGAATTTAGCCCAGCCTCCCCTGTACCTACCTTTTCCCCAGTCTACCCTTTTAAAACCAGTGAGCCAGGGTTAGCTCTGAAATTTCCCCAAGTTCAAAGTGCTCTAGCTAGGCAAGGCACCAGGCTTCCTCCTACCCCAGCAGATCAGACTCACAGTCACGCCATGTCCCCAAGGGAAGAGCACACCCCCAGGAGCTGGGGGCAAGAGGCTGGTGCAGTGGGAGGAGGACAGACCTCTCCTTCCCAAGCGGCCAAGGGTAGTGGGTTAGTCAGAAAGCGGAGCCGCCTGGGGAAGTTAAGAGTGCATTGTAAAACCACAGTGAGGGAAGAAGAGAAGAAAGAGGAAAAACCTTCCAGACAGATCATCCCCAACTTCATACTGATAGACACGAATGACCCGACGATACGCTATGCTAGTCAAAGAAAAGAAACCAAATGAATACACCAGAGGTGGGTGATGGTCAGGAGCACACCAAGACAGACATATGCCACAAGATCGAAGCTGGCAGTGCATAGGAGACAGCACCTGGTGCCCAGGCAGTATGTGGTAGGAGACTAGAGGGCTGGCCTGGGAGATCAGGCAGCTCACACTGTGGATGGGTGGGACATGGCTGGGGAGGAACCACAAGAAAGGGGAGCATAGTACCTTATGGAGACACACCAAGACCAGCAGACACAGCCACGGGGGCTGGGGAGGAGAGCCGAGGGTCAGGGTATCTTGGAGCCTCAGACTTTCTTAGAAACCAAACTCCCTAATCCTTATTGCATTAGTATTAATATGTACAGTCTGATTGGTTTGGGCTTATTTCTCCCATTACCACTGTTAAATGCTTCATTTCCCTGTCTGCAAAACCCTAGAAATGTTAGCCAAAGTTACCGCTGTCCCACCAACACTGGCTGCCTTAATCACAGAAAAAGGCCTTACGCAAATGGTAAGGTAAACGTGGGGCAGCCCCATTCTCTGCTTGCTCCTCCAAGCCCTGTCTCCAAATGCATTGTGCATTGTCTTCTATTGGGGCCAGGAGCACTTAATTCTGGCCCTATGCCCCAGGAAATAGCCTCCATGTGGGGGGCTGGAGTCAATGTACAACCCTTTCTCAGTCGTGGACTGCCTGCCACTAAATGCTATTGTCAAGCTTCATGCCCTCTGATCACATAGGGGCTAAAATATGATCCCTCTGGACATGCTGGAGGAGAGGCGAAAAGGCTGATGTAACCACAACGGCTCAGCAAGCATAAAGGCTTTCCGAGGCTTTGGACTCCAGCTCTGCCTTCTTGTATGATCACACGCCCTACCTAAGGAGAACCATTGGAATCTCAACGGAAAAGCACTAGTGGCTCCCCTCCCCAGACTGCAGGCTCTGCCAGTGGGCCACGGGGCAAGAGACACACTCTTTAAAATGACAGGGACGGAGAGGGCATGAGGGTGGGGAGTGGGAATGCATGGGGTGAAGGAAGTGCAGCCTGCCCTGGGTAGGAAGGCCCATCTTAGAATCCTCTTCAAAGCCAGGCCACTGGGGGATGGAGGGGCAGAGGAACAAGCACACAAGACACTGCCACACCATGAACCCAGAAAATAAAAAGACAATATTAACCCATCGAGGAGATATGTTCTGTGGTGATGAGATCCAAGCAGCCATAAGGTGAGGCGGTGTCCCGGATGGCAGCAATCGGGAGGTGGAGGACAGGGAGAAGACACGAGAAAAGGCAAAACCAAGAACATCAGTATCCATATACCACATTCAACCCTGTACTGTCACTGGTCACTATGGGGGCTGACCATGAGCCAAGCACAATCCCACCCAACCCAGGACATCTAGCCACATAACCTTCGCAGACATGCATCTTCAGAACACTGCTCTGACTCTGCCCACTCCTTTCAGCTGCAGAGCCAGAGAGGATCTGCTGCTAAGCCTTCTTTATTCCAAGCATGGCTTCTGGTTAAGACATCACACCCTGGAACTGTGGGGACACTCCATTCTCCTCTGCATCAAATCTGGAGCTGAAGGCCTAGAGTCTCGGCTCTGAGAACCAGAGCGTTCTCCAGGCTTGAGTACGGTGGGGACCTGCTGCTGCCACCTCCCCATGGCTCTGCAGGGGCTGGGCACCTGGTCTCTTGGATCCACTGGTGGAAGGCGTTGGCATGCTGAGCAAACTCCTGGCGCAACTTGTCATTTTCCTCCTGCCGGCGCTGCTCCTTCTGCAGCTCCAGCTCCCTTTCCTAAGGACCAAAGGGAGACAGATGCTGCAAACTAGTGGGCCTTCATCCCTGGCACCTCCTTCCCAGATGGGATTGGGATGGAGATGGCTACCTTCAAGAACTAACTGGCTGGCTTTAAAATTTGAGAGGGGCAGGATCTAAATATTTTGAATTTGAACACAGCAAGAAATGACTGATCATTTTGGTTAACCTCAACACAAAGATGATATGGGATGAAGTCTGGGGGACACTGACTGGGCTCAGAAGATTGAGTTCACAATTCCCCAGGAGTTCTACAAAGACATGGAGGGGAAGTGATAGATCATAGTCAAGCAGCGAGTTGCTAGACTGACATGAATGGTAATTTGGGATACACAAAACCACACCTCCTTTCCTCTTCTTCCTCCTAAGTCTTGTCAACCTTTACCAAAAAGGGGCTTCTCTGACAAGGGGCCCCAGGCTCAAAGCTCTGGGCAGGAATGACGTATAAAACGGGAGCAGGCGCACCTTGATGATTTTCTGGAGGTTTCTCCAGGTTTCCTCCAAGGCCTCCATTGTGAACCAGGTATAGGGATTGGAGGCCACACGGAAACTCTTGATCTGGCGGTCTAGCTCAGCCAGCTGGTTGAAGTCGGCTTGGGCTGAGCTAAGGGAGGAGCGGAAGGCATCATGGGCCTCACGCAAGGCTTTGATTTCTTCCAAGGAGTTGCAGCGCACTGGGTCTGTTAAGTCCTCCTCTGCATTTTCAAACCAGCTGTTGAAGGCAGAAGCTTTTTTGGCAAAGGTCAGGAAGAGGTCTTCCACCTAAAAGGAGGAGACTGATTTAAGAGAGCAGAGCTGCTAGGGCTGGACTTGCCTTCCTTGGGTAGGAGGACGGGTGGTGGGTGTGCTGACGGGAAAGGCTAAGGGTGGCTGAGAGGGAAGCAGAGCTGAGTACAGCATGCCCGTTTCTGGGCTCTCTCCTCTTCCTCCTCCCTCCTGCCCTCACTGCTGTACATCCTCACCGACCTTTCTTCCCTGCGGTATACGCAGATTCAAAGTCTGTCCTGTGTGCTTCGAGACAACTTCATCAAAGCAAAATATCCATTTACCTTGGTTTAAGCTGACTCTACGCCCCTGCTCAGCCTGTTTTGCTGAGTTGCTTCCTAACAGAATGATGGGAGATCACAGTAAGCAGAGGTTGGGTTTGCCTTCGCTGTGCTGTGGGCCAGTTGAGCTTTCCTGGTCTCATCCTCACCTTGCGGAAATGACTCTGAGCCTCCAGCAGCTTCTTCTTCCGGGTGGCTGAGTTGGCCAAAAGCTGGCTCCACCTTTTCATGAGGGAGGCATGCCGGGCCTCGATAGCCTTTGACTGAATGTGCTTGGCAGCCAGCAGCTGATCTTTGAGGGCAGTGATGTTGGCAATGCCTTCTTGTTGGAAGGCCTGCAGGCCAGCATCAAAAGTTTCCTGGAGCAAGGAGGAATAACCCAATTTGTAGTGACCACAATGAAACTAGAACTTGCTCCTCTTAGGTGTTATAGCTCAGAATGGCACCACCATCTGTCCATCTATAATCCCTACCTTTTCCTGAAACCCGTGTACTTTCCTGCATCTTTTTCAGACTTTTTCCTGCTTTCAGTCTTGCACCTTCTGCCCCAGCACCCCAGGCTCTAGGCAGGATCAGGCACAGGCTCTCTAACCACGCATTTGAACATTCCCCAGGCCATGCACCCAGCCTATTTACTTCATCAGTTCCAGTTTATCCTTCGTGATTTAACTTACATGTTTTCTCCTCTGGGAAGAATTTCCTAATCAACCCTTTCCTGCTGACAAATGAGCCAGACATCATCTCTGAGCAAGTCCACAGAGCTCCCTGCTGTGCTCAGCCCTGTGAGCATGCATGACCCTGCAGCATCAATGCCTGCTCACTCGCTTGTTTCTCCAGTTAGTCTGGAAGCTCCTTGAAGACTGTACTGTCTCTTATTCATGCTGACCTCTAGTACCTCACATAAAATAATCAAATACCTCAATGAAAGATGATGACCATCATTTATCTAGCAGGAAATACTATTTGAACATATTTAAATCAGTAACAAATTAACCACAACTGACCTGTTTGGTAAGGAGAGTTTGGACAGAAGATAGATCTCGGCCATAATCATCTGTCTTTAAGCTGTTCTCTTTTTCACCTAGAAAATCAAGCATGCAAAATATACCGGCCCTTCTCAGTAGAACAGTGAGGTGTAAAAAACAAAACAAAACACAAGCACACACACACACACACAAACTGGGGCAAAGTATGATTTTGTTGATATTTAAACCCCAGTATCACTAATGGCAGTCTCAAAACTCACATTCGCCAGCCCCTCCCTGCACCCAGGTCTCGTTCTCCATCTGTGACAGGAAAAGGCTGGACAGTTGGGTCCCAGAAGCCCCCTCAGCCTGTCCTAGGTGCGGATCCATTGCTACTTATACAAAAGCAGCATTTAGGACAAGTGAGTCCCAGTATTAGAATCTAGTTCTCATCAAGGAACTCAAAAATGGCCTTGATCCATGTAGCTAAGGGGATAGTTCTGGTGTAGTCTGGTCCCCTTTAGTGTGCCCGTTTTATTTGTGTGGTGACGTCTGCTGCTTTCAGTGTTTGTATGTCTTTGTTTTGTTAGCCCTGTTCCTAGCCCAGTGCCAAACACCACTGTTGCCCTTGCTGGGTGACCTCAGGATAGTCTTCCACCTGGTGGTCAGTGCTCTCTGGCTGACAGTAGGTTCTGATATACCTGCAACTGATCAGTTTCTTCTCTGCAGAAGAAAATCAACTGCATGGAAAATAGACAAGCTGTGGCTGTGGGAGTTATCTTCCTGGCCTGGAAGAACTAGAAACGTTAGGCTTTGCTGAAACAGTGCTTACCAATCCAGGACTCCACTACGTCAGCCTTCCAATTAAATTGAAGGAAGGCTGAGTTCTCATCAAGTTTTGCCTTCCTCTGGGCTGCAGCTTTCTCCAGGTCAGATACTTTCCCATTTAAGCCCTTCATCTTTGAAGAGATGTTCTCCTCATGGTGATTGTTCTGGGTGTGAAGAGAAGCACAAATACAGGTCAGCCCCCCTGCTGCTGCAGTGGCCCCACCTGTGCCCTCCCGAGGAAGGCTCTCAATATCTCTAAGACAGGCTGTTTGCTTCCCTGTCCTCTTCCAGGGGAAGAATAACGGTGAAACGTCTAGAAACAACAAAGAGTAAAAGCCATAAAAGACAAGTATCCTCCGTACTGGTAATTCTACTTCTAGGAATCTACACTAAAGGAAAAATGAGCAATGAGCTCAAATGTTAAGTTACAATGATGTACTCATTAATATTACTTTTGATATAAAAAAAACTGGAAAATAGTAATCAGTGAAATAAAAATCTATACAGCTAAACAATGGCTACGGTACTTATGATAAAAATAATGGCTCAAAAAATGTTTTGATATTGTGGGTATCAAAAATTGTAAAGCCCCAAACACTTTCATTCAGTCTTGGCTGAAACTATATTTGAAACACTGGCATAAGTTACTGTAGAATTTAAAAAAAAAACTGGGAGGAAACAAAGACTGTTGAGCCAAGTGTTCCTGAGCAGCAAGCTCCGGGCCCCTGCCAGCAGGCTGAAGGGCATCCGCAAACAAGGCAGCCCACAGGCTCAAAGACCAGAGAACAAGGTTATCCACGTGTGTGAGGTGGTGGGTTGGAGAGGGCAGTCATACCTATGCCTGTACTTACATCTGTATATACCCTGTAACTGAAATTAGTTTCTTGTTTACTTGCTGATAAGGACAAGGATAAAAACCTCTTCAGTGAATGCTTTTTTAACTACATTGTTTCTTCCTAAGGAATACAACCCTAGTCTCATAAGCACTCTCACTGAGTGTATACTCTGAGGAGAAATTTATTACTCATTATGTTTGTTATAGGAAATTGCACTTATTTAAAATGCTTGTCCTGAGCAAGAAGTTTATGGCGGTGATTAATTCATGAGCACTGACTGCACTACAGTGGCAGAATGTCAATGTCCAAATGACTTGACCTCACCCATGGGTGAGAAAGTACGAAGACCCCTTGTTGGTTGCTTTCTCCCTGAAGGACTGTCTGAATGAAATTAATCTTGCGATTCTAACGACACACACGCTATACATACATGTCATTTGATCTGTAACGCTATCAGCATGCATCTGTTTTGTTTAGTGGGTAGCTCTATAAATGTGGACAGAAAAAGTCTGGAAGGTTAGATATGAAGATCTTAACAGTAGTTGTCTCTGGGTGGTGGGTTTATGGATAATTTGTATTTTGTTTTGCTTATTTGTCTTTTCTGTTATCTTGATAATAAGGTTGTATTACTTGAGAAATAAAAAATTAAGAGTGCAACCATTTGGGAGTGTCTCTGTCACAAAAAGGCCAGTGGGGATGCTGCTCTGTTAGCTTAATTAAGGCAGAAAAAAAATAAGCACTGCAGTGTTAACTTGACTGACTGGTTTTAGAAAGGGTGGAATATCCAACTTATGTAATCAGTCTCTTTCTTGAGGCACAGAAATGCCACAGTTATTGGTCTCCATGCAAAAAAAAAAAAAAAAAAGAAAAAACCAGACTTTACAGGGCAACTACAGTACCAGGATGCTGGTGCCCTGAAGTGGAAAGCAAGGATTTTACCAGTGGGTGAGGCTCACCTTCTTAATGAGGTCTTGTCCATTAGTGCAGACATCATTCACACGATCCTTGTGGACAGTAAAGTCTGTCTCAAAAGCTTCATGTTTCTTCAGCAAGCCCTAGGGTGGAACCGATAAGGGCAACTGTTCAGGGTCTATTACGTGTCAGTGTGCCAGAGGGGACAGAGCTAATATGGCACCCACCCGCATGCCCATTAAACCAAAAACCCAAACCCACTGCTGTCGAGTAGATTCAGATTCATGGTGACCTTATAGGACAAAGTAGAACTGTCCTATAGGGTTTCCAAGGCTGCAAATCTTTACAGAAGCATACTGCCCCATCTTTCTTCAGAGCGGCTGGTGGGTTCAAATCACCAAACCTTTTGACACTTGACTGCATTAACCACTGTTCCACCAGGTCTCCTCTCACATGTTATAGGAGTACAAATAAATGTGTAATTATAAAGGAGGTAAAAGGAATGTAGAGATAATACTCTTTTGGTTGGCTTCTAAGGAGCTCAACTACGTAAGATGGGAAATCATTTACTCATTTCAATTCTGCCTAAATCCTGAACTAGTTGGAGATGATTCCCACTGTGAGCAGTGTGGCCTAGGGGCTATCCCCATTCTTGGGAATGCAAACTCTGCTTCTACACCTGGTCTGGTAAACTGAAAAGCACAACTGTGATGTTTCACAGCTTTGCCCATCAGAGGTAAATATCCTCATCCCGTGACTCTGGGCTGCCCTGGAACTTGCTTTTTGCCCTATAGAACGCGGTGAGAATGTCGTGTGATGACCAGGCCTTAAGATACTTCACAGATTCTACTTTTGCCTCTTTAAGGTCTAAGGAAGCTGGTTCAGCCTGTTGGAAGATGAGAGGCCATGGGAGAAGTGAGATACCCCTTCTAACAGGTTGGGACCAACTGCCAGATGTGGGTGAGGGCACGTCAGCTCTTTCAGCTGAGCCACGCCTCCACCTGAACACAGTAGCATGAGTGACCCAAGTAAATAGCACAGGAAATAACTGCCATTTCATAGAAACATGGGAAAACAGTAAACGGTTGTGGTTTTTAAGTGCTAAGTTTTAGGCGGGTTGTTTCACAGCATTAGTTAATCAGTGTACTTAGGGAGTACTACTTGACTGACTGTAGGGATCTGTGAATTGGGGCTCAAAAAGTCATGCCAATTTTGTCTAGAGAGGCAACTTCCCCAGTAGAGACGATCCTGTGGGCCTTGGCTGCAGGCTGTGTGTGTGTGTGTGTGTGTCTTCTACTGTTAAAAGCAGGGCCATTTCACAAACCAGCAGGAAAGGAGTGAACTGGCAGCTGCTAATAGGGAAGCAGGTGGCAGCTTTCTCTCTCTCTGACCTGGATAGCAGCAAGAGTATCTCCATAATCTTCACTGGCCACCAGGGTCATTTTCTCATTAATCCAGGCCTCTTCCTCTTCCACATTGGCTACAAACTGCTGATACTCCAAGGACTCTTCTAGCCGCTGGCCCCTAGTACAGGAGAATAGGAGAAAATAATCAGC